CATAGTATTTGAGGTTGAATAAAGACATTAGTCCATCAAGTCCAACCTATTAGGATCTCATTCTAGGAGTACCTGTACCCCTGTATATTACGGTCCCTTAAGAAATCGTCCAAAAGTTTCTTGAACAATTCCACATTCTTTGCTGAAATCACTGTGGCAGTGAGTTCCAGACCCTAACTGATCTTACTGTGAAGAACCCCCTTCGCCCCTTGTGCTGGAATTTTTTTTCCACCAATTTTAGGTGGTGGCCTCTAGTTTTTGTAATGGAGTTAATTTTAAACAGTTTATCGCTAATGTTGCTGCCACCATTGAACATTTTGTACATGGAGATCATATCCCCCCTTAATCTCCTCACCTCCAATGTGAACATGTTTAAATTTAGTAGCCTTGTCTCGTAGCTCTGGTCCTCCATACCCCTAATTAGTTTGGTTGCCCTCCGCTGGACTTTTTCCAACTCAAGGACATCTTTTCTTAGTACTGGTGACCAGAACTGGACCGCGTACTCCAGATGAGGTCGAACCAATGATCTATAAAGTGGCAAAATTATAGACTTGTCCCTGCAATACATCCCCTTTTTAATACAGGACAAGACCCTGCTACTGTCACTCTCCGGCTACAGAAGCTGAAGAGAAGCTGATGAAGCAGTTCTCTGCTTCATCAGCTTCTTTGGGGGTCCCTAGGTGACATTAGGGGCCTTAAGACCCCTTATGTCTCTATAAAAAGGACCTGCCACATCCTCTTTGCTATCACATAAGGAGATTCTTAGCCCCTATGTGATATCAATAAAGTTAAGTGAAACAAAAAAAGTTTACAAAAAATGAAAGTTCAGAAACAAAAATTAAAGTCATACATAAAAAATAATTTAAAAAACACAAATTTCCCCAGTTCCACATACACGCGTGCAAACATGCGTTGGGTGTGCATACGTTCGAAAAGGACGATTGTGCCAATTACGCCGCACATGTTACATATCACTGTGAACGTCAGAGTGAGGGCAATCATTTTAGGGCCATTATTCACTGATCACACTAAACTGATGAGCGGTAAGAGCTTTTAAAGTGTCGCCTATGGCCAATTTTGGGTATAGTAGTTTTTTGCGATTTCGCGGGCGCATGCAAATTTTAAAGCTAGATGTGTTTGGTGTGTATTTACTTGACCCCATCTTTTACATTTTACCAAAATATGGGTAAGAATAAATGTTTTTTAAGATAATGTAGGGAAAACATTTTTTTTTCGAAATTGACGGTATTTTTTTCATTATATAGTAAAAAATAAAAATCCCAGTAGTGATCATATACCACCAGAAAAAGCTCTATCTGTCCCTAAAAAATGATATAAAATTAATTTCAGTACAGCATTGCATGATGGGATAAATGTCAGTCAAAGCACCGCAGCACTGAATGCTGAAAATTGGCCTGGCCATTAAGGGGGTGTAAACACCTGTTCTTTAAGTGGTTAAGAAAGTTTTTATTTAGATTTATGCTAAATGTTAGACATTCATCTTGCATGTTAGACACGTTAGACTGAATAGCTTAATTGGAAATGTCCTTTGAAATTACTTGTTTGTCACCATAGTTAAATGATATAATGGTTTTACTTGTTGTGTAAAGGTGTAAGTAGTGTCATGTTAATTGTATGACACTGGTCACTTTACATTGTACATTAAACATAATGTATAATGCATTGCATTATCTATAAATGTATCATATATAAACATGCCATGGACTAAGGACTTTGTTCCCTTCATTACATTATGAATAGGTATTATGATTAATTATTCATATGCTCTGCATATAATATAGGACAAGCAACGAATAGACTAAATAACAATGACCATATAGAAAAATAGAAAATGCTAATCCCCTAGAGAGCAGTAAAAACCCGTAATTAGAATGCCTTTTTATAGCTGACACTTCAATGGCAGGCATAGGTTTACGATGATTCTTTGCTTTGTTTTATGGTAGAAATCCAATCAGTAATCAGGAATCAAGCACAACTGTACTTTGCCATAAAGCATTCTTTATTTTGATAACTGTTAGGAGAGAATCGTAGTTTTTAATGTATATAGTATATTTCTGGTACTGGAAAGGGATTGCCTCATAGCTAAGAATCTCTGGAGTGACATAAATACTATCATATTTCTATATTCAAGATGAGAATACTTTGTTTACTTCTACAGGCTTAACAATCTCCTTAAAGTGCTAGAAAGATTATGTATAGCATTGAATTTTAGGTCTATTTCATAGTATCACATGTTTTGCGTGAGATTTAAGTAATAATAACGTTGACATCGGTGTATTGTAACATCTATAGCAATTTAAAGTGGTGTAGGTGTTATAGGTTAGCTGCTTTTTTATTTGGATATACTGTAAAGGTAGCCTTATTTGCTCACCACCTGCATGTACTCTGCTTCCTATGGACTGCACTCCCTGTGGGGTTAATATCTTATCTCAACAGTTGGTAAAAGAGAACTATAGCCAAGCCTTTTTTGGGCTATAGTTCTCTTTTGGGTCACAGGTGTACATTTACTAGGCAAATAGCAGGATATAGCCCGCTATATGCTGACAGCGCAGAGCAATGCTGCAGCCAGAAAAGATCCCGAGAATACTTTCGGGATCAATTCCGCTGCCTGTTCGATGACTGGCTCTGGCTCTCTAGAGCCATAGCCGGCTGTGCTCACCCCCTCCTCTGTCTGTCCCTCCAATGAGCGCTGGAGGAACAGAGAGGTGAGGGAACCCTGCAGGGAGCGGTAAATGACAGTCACCGCTCTCTGCAGAGAGAAGCCATGAGCTAAATGATAAGCGCTTTGTGATCACTCAGTTCCCATGCTATAGAGCTGGCATGTGACAGCTGCAGTGTCACATGCCTGCTCAAACAATTCAGAAGAGTACATTTTACTCTCCTGATACTCCCAATAAAAAATAACTTTCTTTCTCCTCCTTCCC